CTTGGGACATTGTCATCAGGACTAGAGCCGAAGATGAGGGAGACTTAGACACGAACTCCTGGCCTGCTCCAAATAAAGCCATCCCTGGGAAGAGAAGCGCCGTTGTCATGGGCAGAGGAAGGCGGCGGGATGACATAGCCAGAGCTTTCGTTGGCTTTGAGTACGAAGACTCCCGAGGCCGGAGATTCATGTGCTCAGGGCCTGACAAAGTCATGAAAGTGATGGGAAGTGGGCCAAAGGAGTCGGCTCTAAAGGCCCTCAACAGCGATATGCCCCTGTACATCCTGTCCTCATCTCAGGGCAGAGGCCTCAAGCCACACTATGCGCAGCTGATGAGGCTTTTTGTGGTGGTTCCTGATGCTCCTTTGCAGATAATCCTGATGCCCCAGGTAAGAAATAAAACCGCTGCCCTAAACAGACAAAACGGCAATGCTTTTCTTGGGGTGGTCTTCATGGGTAGCCCATGTTGCCTTGGAATTAGATGTGTAATCTTCGGTGACCTTGAACTTATGATCTTGTCTCTGCCTCCCATGTGCTGGGATTTTAGGCATGTCTCTTCCTTACTAACCGTGCTGTATCCCAAGCCCATGATGCTTATTTTGATTTTTGTTTGTTGGTTTGAGAGAGTCATGTGGTCCAGGCCAGCCTGAAACTCACTGTGTAGTTATGGATAACCTTGAACTTCTTACCTCCTGTCTCTACCTCCTCAGTGCCTGGATGGCAGGGTACACACCCACACCTAGTTTAGTCAGTGCTAGGGATTCAGTGAAGGTTTCATGTACTGAGCACTGTACCAACTGAGCAACACCCGCCACCCTTTGTTCTGATCATTTTTATTTATTTATTATTTTGGTTTTTTGAGACAAGCTTTCTCTGTGTAGCCCTGGCTAACCTGGAACCCAAAATATAGGCTAGGCGAACCTAGAACTCGCAGAATTCTAGGTTGCCAGATGTGCTATATCACTGAATTGCCTTCCAACCCCATATCTGCTTAAATATTTTTGTTTACACTTATTTATTTATCTATTATTTATTAATTTGTTGTTTGTGTGCACACTGGTATGCTAGGCGAGCCCTCTAATAAGTTAAATTCCCAGTACCTAATTTCTTTTAAATCCAAGATCTTTATTGATTTAACTATGACAACCATTAGTAAGAATTTAGTTTAACCATGGTTTTCCAAACACCTACTGATTTAGAAGTGCAGTCAAAAAAAAAAAGAAAGGAAGGAAGAAAAGAAAACAAGCTAGGTGAGGTGGCGCACGCTTTTAATCCCAGCTCTCAGGAGGCAGAGGCAGGTGGATCTCTGTAAGTTAGAGGCCAGCCTGGTCTACGGAGTGAGTTCCAGGACAGCCAGGGATATGGAGAGAGATTCTGTATCAAAACAACAACAAAACCTGGTCAGCCGGGCGGTGGTGGCGCATGCTTTTAATCCCAGGCAGAGCCAGGCTGATCTCTGTGAGTTCGAGGCCAGCCTGGTCTACAGAGTGAGATCCAGGACAGCCACCAAAACTACACCAAACAAACAAACAAACCTGGTCAACAGGAAGTGGAAAAGAGCACAGAGGGAGTAAGACACCAAGGGGACAAGGTGAGGACAAGGAAGTGCCAGCAGCTCCCGCCTTCCTGTTGAGTCTGGCTGCACGATCTGCAGTGGGTTTGAACCCACTGTTTGTTGACACTCAACTTTTAGGTGTTTCTTATTGAGAAATCTACAAGTAATTCTGTTACCTGTGTTTTTCAGGTTCAACCAGGCCCACCACCATGTCCAGTATTTTACCCAGAAAAACAAGAAATCACTCTCCCACCTGATGGCCTGTGGGTTTTGAGATTTCCTTATGCATATGTGACTGAGAGGGGACCTTGTTTTCCTCCCAAGGAGAACGTGCAGCTCATGAGCTACAAGGTGCTTCGGGGCGTCCTGAAAGCCGTGACACAATAGCTTCTCCCCGCGGTCAGTCTCTGACCAGAGCCTGGAGCCGACGTCTGTCTTGTTTGGGTGTGTGTGTGAGATTTTGTTTTTAAATGTGTGTTCTGTGTTTGCCCAAAACCAACATGTGTTTTGGTTAGAAGTGTTCAGTATTTGGACAATAATTGTTCCATTATTTCATTATATTGATATTTATTGTAAAATCAATAAAAGTTTGTTGTTCTAGAAAAGAATGGATATAAAAATGTATAGTTGATAGCTGTTTTCTCTTGTTTTGCTTTATTGTCGATACAAGGCATATTTTTATATTTCATTGTCAATATAAGGCTTATTTTTATTGTAATTTGGTGTTTCATCTTTCTGATAAAATGATGTTTCAGTTGGGATATTCCTTAAGATCATGCTTTTCTTTTTTCTCTCTCTCTTTTTTGGTTTTTCGAGACAGGGTTCTTTGTAGTCCTGGCTGTCCTGGAACTCACTCTGTAGACCAGGCTGACCTCGAACTCAGAGATCACCTGCTTCTGCCTCCCAAGTGCCAGGATTAAAGGTGCGTACCACTATACCTGGCCCTATTTATTTATTTATTTATTTATTTATTTATTGGTTTTTCAGACAGGGTTTCTCTGTATAGCTTTGGAGCCTGTCCTGGAACTCACAATGTAGACCAGGCTAGCCTCAAACTCACAGAGATCTACCTGACTTTGCCTACCAAGTGCTGGGATTAAAGGTGTGTGCCACTACCGCCCAGCCCTATTTATTTTTTATATGTGAATGTATGTATGTATGTATGTATGTATGTATGTATATGTACTACATGCATGCATGGTGCCCACTGAGTTCAAAAGAAGACATTGGATACCTTGGAACTGGAGCCACCATGTGGGTATGGGAACTGAACCCAGGTCCTCTGTAAGTACAAATGCTCTTAAACCAGGCAGTGGTGTGGGGCACACTTTTAATCTCAGCACTCAGGAGGCAGAGGCAGGTGGATCTGTGTGAGGCCGGCCTGGTCTACAGAGCAAGTTTCAGGACAGCCAGAGCTGTTACACAGAGAAACCCTGTCTTGAAAAAAAACAAAAACAAATGAACAAGTGCTCTTGATGGACAGTGGTGGCGCACACCTTTTAATCCCAGCTCTTCGGAGGCAGAGGCAGGCAGGGCTCTGAAGTTGGAGGCCAGCGTGAAACAACAGCAGCAACAAAAACCCCCAAGTGTTCTGGCTGAGCCATTTCTCTAGTCCCTGGCCTTGAACTCTCAAAACTCCTGCCTTGGCCTGTCTAGTACGGGGATAGGTGTGTGCTAATAAAAACTTTATTCAATACTAGGCATTGAACCTCAGGTCTCACGCATACCACTGAGTTACATCCAGTTCCTGTTGGTTCTTAATATTTGGAGACAGTCTCTAGCTGGGGCTAGCTTCGAATTCATTCTGTAGCCCAGGCAGGCCTAGAACTTAAAATCCTCCTGTCTCAGCCTCCAGAGTAGCTGGGATTACAGGCCTATATATCCTCAGTCCTGGCATAAATGTTCTTTAAGTAAATCCCTATTCCATGAAATAATTTGCTAAGTGGTTAAATCTTACCAATCTCTAGTAACTTTTCCCAACATACCACTGTATCACCGTTGTGGCTCTGCCATCAATTAGATACGTGCAAAATAAACTGAGACCCAAAGTAGTAATTGATTCTATTTTCCCAGATACATTGTAAATACTGTACTAACAGAATTAGAGACTCTAGTGTCAATGTATATGAAATATAGTGTTTATTACATTTCCAAAAGCTGTTACCTGACCCAGCAAGATGGCTTAGTAGGAAAAGGAACGGCCACCTCAGGTCTCCCATGGTGGAAAGACAGAACTCTTCCCCCATAGGTTTTTCTCTGGCCTTTACATGTGCACCCCCATACACACAAAACAAGTAAATATATAAAAAATAAACAATGAGATCAGGTCCAGCAGCCCTTGCCTGCAGATCCAGCTAATCAGCAAGATGAAGCAAGACAACTACTTGACCCTAGGAGTTTGAAGCCAGCCTGAACTAAACACGGTCATTTTGTTGTTGTGGATTGTTTTGTACCAGGAATCAAACCACTGGCCTTGAGGGGTTTGTACTTGGAAGACAGAGGCAGGTGGATCTCCAGCCTGGTTTTCATATTGAGTTCCAGGTCAGCCAAGGGAACAGTGAGACTCTGTCTCCAAAAATAACCGCAATACAGAGGCAAGCTGAACCCTGTGAATTTGAGGCCAGCATGGTCTACACAGTGAGACCCTGTCTCAAAACAAACCCAAGGCCTTGAACATGTTAGGAAAGTGCTCTATCATTGAGCCACGGCTACAAGCCTTTGTGGTTAGTTCCTTTGTATGAAATATGATTCACAGCTGGGCATGCTTATAATCCCAGCACTGGAGGCTGAGGCAGGAGAATCGGGAGTTCAAAGCTCTATCCTCTACTCCATGGTGAATTCAAATCTAGACTGGGCTAGGTAAGACCCTATCTCACAAAACCAACACCCTATCCCCTTAAAACGTAGTTCCTAGCGTTTTCGGAGTTTGTAATGTGTGAGATGAAAAAGGGAAATGGAAAATGTAGTTGCCAGTCTTTATAGGGAACGGCTTAGTTGCCAGTTTCCTTATTTATATTTATTTTGTGCTGGAGCTTGAATCGGTACGCTCTACTAACTGGGCTACGCCTTCCAGTCCCAAGTTTCTTACACGAACTGTTGACTCAACATTTCTCGAGTACGAAACGAACTCGAGGCATTAGTAACAATTCTTTGCATTTCCTAGAGTAGGGGCTAGGACTTGCCCTGGAATCCTCCTTTGATGTACACTTCCCAATTACGTCAGATTTTCCTGAAGGCTATTCCGCTTGAGGGATGCCCAAACAAAAACCAAACAAATAAAAACGCTGGCGAGTTTCCAACCTCTTGCCTCAGGATCTTCTTAGAAGCACGGGACTAGAGCTGCTGGAAGCCAAACGCTGCCTGCCGCAGCGCGCCTGCGTATCGGAGCCCCTTTGTTGCTCCGGCGCTGGGGTCGGGCTGCGCCTGCGTGTTGAGCCCGCACGAACAAGTGCGCTGCGCCGAGGGCACCGGCTGGGGGCGAGCAGATCTCGAGCAGCCGCCGGCGCCGCAGCCGTTGCTACCGCCGCAGCGCAGTGGGGTTCAGAGGCCCAGAAGGTGGTGACCCAGGATGTCGTCCACCGCGGCTTTTTGCCTTCTCTCCACCCTGGGAGGGTATTTGGTCACGTCGTTCTTGTTGCTTAAATACCCAACGTTGTTGCACCAGAAAAAGAAGCAGCGATTCCTCAGTAGGCACATCTCTCACCGCGGAGGTGAGAGGGGTCCCCAGAACCCGATGGCGGAGATTGGGGGTGGCTTCCTAGGAGGGAGATGATGGGGATACCGGAGAGGAAGAATGGGCTGCAGTGGCTGGAGGGCTTCCTCGGATGAGTCGTCCGGAGGGGAGGAAAGGAAAGGGGTCCTGGTGTCCGAGTCCTGGTGGGCGTCTCTGGGGAGCAAAGGTGGCAGGGCGTGTGTGAGGAGGGGAAGCGCAGGATGAGAGCGAGAAGTGGGGCGCTTCTCTGCCGATGGAAGGATGATCGCGAGGTCCCTTCTTGGCAGCCAGGCACAAAGCCGGTGCAGATCCAGGAGACACCCGCAGGGGGAACCAGGCACAGACTGCTTGGAACAAGCTGGTGGCTGAGTCCATGGGGAAGAGCTTGTGCTCAGGCAGGACTGAGGATCCGCGAGTCACCTGGAGCGAGCCGAGCCGTCTGCGTCTGCGATGCCTGGTGACCTGGCCCACCCTCCACGCATTTGTAATTGAGCTCTGGAGAGAAATGTCTCCAAACCAGGGACGTTTTCCAAGGTCACAGTGAGAGCTTGGACTGAAGTAGGACAGGGAACTTGGAGGGTTCTGGTTCCGAGGAATCCAAACCTAATACCTGTTTTTTGTTTTGTTTTGTTTTGTTTTTCATTTTAAACAGCACTATTTACCCCAGCGATGGTTCGTGGGTTTCTAAAAGACTAAAACATGATTTCGGTTATTCGTCAGTACTATTTTTCAAAAATGTTAATTTTTCTCTTGCAAAAGTATATTGCTATACGAATCGAAGGGAGTCCACTCTTATTTCCTACAACAGGCCACGTCTTTGCTTCTTCGTTACTGTTTAATAATGTGACTTCATTACATCTCAATCATAATGTTTAAAATATAAAATTGTTTGGTCGCTTTAAAATTTTCTTTTGGAGTGAATGTGACACCAGGTTTAAATAGCTTGAAATGGAGCCGGGTTTCGTGGCCTACGCCTTTAATCCCAGCACTCTGGAAGCAGAGGCAGGCAGATCTCTGAGTTTGAGGCTAGCTGGAATGAGTTCCAGGTCAGCTGGAGTGAGTTCCAGGATAGCCAGGGCTACACAGAGAAACCCTGTCTCAAAAAACAAAACAAAAACAAAAAAAAGAAAGAAAGAAAGAAAGGAAGGAAGGAAGG